TTTGAACTTATTTTATAGCGTTTGCTAATTAATACTACCTATTATATTATTAAAATTTTTAAGTAGAGCGTGTGAATTTTGTGCTAAATATTATGTCACCTCACCAAGATATTCGCAGGTAGGAGTACGATAATTAAAAAACCAAGTTCTACCTTTGAAAGTCGACAGTCGTCAAGTTCATTATTCTATAAGTAGAAAATATTTCCCAACCATAATCAGAGCATGGTAACAACACTAATATGCAATTCACATGAACACAGGCCTTTATTAGTTCCAATTTGGACAAGGAACAGATAACTAGATGCCATTATATTCAACCCCACATGAATAGTAAAAATGGGAGTGCAAAAATAACTCTTGTGATCATAGAAATAAAACCGCTATTATTGGAGGGGTACATAAGACTTTATGTATAATAACATGCTTAAGTAAGTCGTTGAATGAGGCGAGAATTGTATGATAGCACTATTGTCTGTGGGTATCAACGGAGCAGTTAAAGTAACGTGTTCATTGTTTATGAGTCTGTAGTTATTATTTTGACGTGCGACAGTCACAATTAAAGTACCAAGGGCACTTTGAAAGAGGTTATTTCATAGAGTGGTGTTTTACTTAATGCCTTGGTTGGTATTTTTTTAAGGGGGGAAATCATCGAATGACTGCTCCCGCCTGGGTGGAGCGGGAGGGAGTGTCAGACTCTTACTGACTAAAAACCACCCCGTTCCTTCTCCTGCACGTCGAGCCGGAGCCCCGGTAACCCGTTAGGTTCTCCGCAACGCCTTGGTTGGTACATGAGGTAATGGTTATTTATTTTCAAAGTAAAAAAGGGATTGTTAGATATTCAATATTCATTTTTAGATTTACTTTGAAATACTTGTCTTAGTTGAGTGATACAGTAATAGTACAGATAGATTAAACTTAATTTCTTAACCAATAAAGTTGTTTTGTAAATTCTTACCAACATGAACAAAATAATTTTGCCAACTTTGGACAAAAAGTGAGAAATAATCTTTAGTATTAACACAAAGTGACGGATGGATGGATAAGAAAACAGGATCGTTTGAAGCATGTAGGTAGTAAATAAATTGCCCGCTTCGCTTAATTTTAGACTCAACGGCCAATTTCATGTAGACAATTTAATATCGTGAGAGACGTTTACCGCACACACGCTTGCGTTTATGACACTTTTAGTGTTCATAAAATAATATGGGTAATTTGTTGAAGATTTGTGTCATACGCGACAAAATGTCCTATATTGTCGCATAGGAGAGGATATTGAATATCTTGATTATTCAAATCCAATCGATTTTGGAAATAAATTGAAACATCATTTATCTACGAAAGATAATCGGGACCCATAGCTACGAGACGAAAAGCAAAACGAGGCAAATCTTGCCTTGAAAACACATTTTCGAAATTTTGGAAACCATTTCTGAAAATTTACGAGGGAATTTTGACCGATTTTGATCGATATCGAATGTTGCTTTTGCTCAAATTTCCGACAAGTTAAATCATGATAGTGATTGATATGAGATAAGCAAGCCCATTCAATTCGTCGTATCTTGGTTAACCCAAATATTTGCAGATTGGGACCAAAGATATGGGTTACAAAATTTTACAATTTCACCATAACTTCTACTTTCTTTTGGTGCCAAATTCAAGATGACCCAAATTGAAGTAAATTAGACTCCATCGCAATAAACTTTAGTTAGAAATTCCAGCAATATCTAACGTACGGAGAAGTCTTTGACGACTCCAAAAATATCGAATACTTCACAAGTATTTGTAGAACCCAATTAATCACGTGTATTTCTATACTAAAATATAGGACAAAATCAAACTTGAAGATGACGGCATCGCGGGAGATTTGGCCGATCTGCCAATAACTGATGGATTAAATGAATTCTTGAGTGAGTGAAAACTACGAAGGAGATGGATTGATGATTCTCAAAATATTGAGAACCGTGTGTAAATGGGAGTACTTACACGTGTAAAGTTCATTCCAGATGTGAATTGTTATAGAATACAAATCATGAGTCCGTAACAACAGCCAAAATTACAATCCGAATAATGTTTAGAATGTAACAGCAACGTCGGATTTGGCAAGCGATTAGAGAGAAAAGTGTGATGCTCCGAATTATCAATTACACGTGAAAATTCTTCTATAATGTCGACACTGCCAAATACTAGTTTGGTGTTAATAGACGCCAATGTTTTCATACTTGTTTTACGGGATCAGACGCTATATTTTCTTATAAATTACGCTTGATGTTTCAGTTAAGTTTTGTTGATTGACCTTACAGACTCAACATCTTTTATCACTCTTTCACCAGGTCGCCCGTCTTTAATCTATCTAATATCTTTAATATACTGTTTACTACCTACTTATTAAAATTGGAAGACGCTGATGAGCAGGCAACTATACAAGTACACAACACTCATTTATATGGGTTAGTATGCAATCTTGTAAAGTGGGTCATTTACAATGAACGCGGCATCTGTAGTGCACACTCTTACTACAATATTTACTCTTCCTTATAAATAATCATGTGTTCGCAAGCCCAACACAGATGTGACTAAGTAAATAGTTTTAATAACCATTTATAAACTTCGCAGTTTCTTGATACTTGACATAGAAAACTCGAAGCAAGTTTCCGTGAATTGCGACAACTTATATTTCTTCTGCGCAAAACCTTACTCCAATTAGACGTTCCTTAATTACACCCAGTGACGTTTGAGCAAGTTGGAATAAGACTTTTTTAATTACCGTAAAAGTGGAGACTTGAAACTAATTAAAATAGGTCACAGAGCGTTTTTCTTCGAGTGATCGTAAAATATTTTCTTTTTAGTAGCGAAATATTTTATACCTTTTTATTTGACCGTAGCATTTTCTTGACGCCTCGTAGTTACTTGAAGTTGACACATTTTTTCACACATTCACAAACCACGTATAAATTTTGTTCTACATCTTTTTTTGTTTTCGCTTAATTTTTTTGTCACAAGATTTTTTACAATACACCAATATCGCAACTATGGATATAATAATTAAATTTTCGGTTTTACATAACTGAGAAAGTGTACGCATTGTTTTTTTTTACAAAATAGTGTGGGGATACATTGATGGCTTCTGCAAAGTGGATAAGGGGCGTAGACTCTATAATCCATTTACGAATAAGGCTGTTACGGTGAAGGTAATACACTAAAGCAAACTAAAGCGTTTAATTGAAGGTCTTGATCCAATGTCGAATTAATTACTTTTCGTGATCCCGTCTAGTATGGCGAAAATTTCGGCAAAAAAGTATGTTTTAAAGTTACTTTCGATCAAAAACGGTGATAATGTTACTAATACACCGTAAATACGACATCAATATTGATTAAACTGTCAAACACCAAGCGGTCACCGGTGACCGCGACCTATTGTTCTTTAATTGTGTCTATAAAACCGGTACTCGACGAGTTAAAACTTTTAACAAGGTAGCAACTTGATCTCTATTTGAGGTGAATGGCGGTAGACGGCATAAGTTATAGCTACATAATAAAATAATTAATACATTTCTCGACAGAAACTAAACCCAGTGATTTGGGCTTACTCCTCTGTAGACATTTTCTGTAGACCGCATTTTTTAAAAATCTATGCTCAGCCCCATTTCCAGCGATATTTTCAGCCAATTTTTAAACTCCAAACGTATTCTTATTTCATTCACTTATATTCTAAGGGCTTTATGAAATGGAGAATCCCATAAGACCGATATCCGATCGGATCCTTTATTAAAATTTCAGACTCGATCGATGATATATTTTTGTTTTACAAGCCGTCTGCGTCTGGAGGGATCGAAGGGGATCAAGGGACGTATATAGGTCATCGGTAGACGAAACCAGGTTTATAGGTTAGCTAAACAGGGGTGTAAATTGAGTGAACTTGGAGTTCATAAAGGTTAGTGGATAATTGAATTGGGTGAAGCTTTGAGTGGAGTTTTGTGAGTGAAAGAACTAAAAATTATATTGGAGCTTCAAATAGGTCGATCAATTATCAGGCAATCTAACTAGATTTGTTTAAAAGTGGAGGAATCCCTAAGTATTTTTGACGAATTAGGTACTCATTTATTAGCATGAATCGTCTCTTCAATAATTCAATTCAATTCAAATTCATTAGCATAGTTCATTTCGCAAATATGAATTTCGGTTAAAGCTAAATTAAGATATTTGTGAATTTGACATAAACATTCTGTAGAAATCTAACAAAGCAACAAAATTTCTACCAACCTATTTCTGACGCAAAGTAAAATAATATTTTAGTTCAAGAATAACAGAACGGTAGGGAAATATTCCAAACAAGTGCGTATGCATAGCACAGGCCTACTTTTAAAATACGTTATATTTATACGCTATCAAGTTCACTCGATAAAAAAAAAGCTAAACAAGTCAAAATGCAAAAAGATTTATAGTGTTTTAAGATTTTTTCACAATTAATATCGCAGTTGACCCTATTGCATACTTGGTTTAATTTAACCTAAAAGTAAATTAACATTTTTATATAATTCTACAATCTATACATTTTACTTGTCAAACACTGGACGTACAGGAAACGTCTGATAACAATATGGCACGTGTATTCAGTCCCTTTTCAAAATGACAGCCTCTTGTCACTACTCGTGTCTTGTGTCTTCCGCCCTTTGTGGAACGCTAGAGGCATTACTTGTATGAAATGGTATCGATGTTGTCACATTGGAGATTCACAATTTATGCATATTTATGGACTGTGATTGCGACTTTGCAGCTGTTTAAAATTTCAACACAATACAGGTAAGTATTATTGAACTTTTAACAATTATTAGGTATACCAACTGTCCCACAACTGGGTACTTTTCAATCTAGTCAAATTCAAAACCAAATAAATTTGTACGAATTTTACACGACGTATGTTATGACGACATATCTTTTGCGTTAAACTTCACGTTGACTAATAGAAGATCTGTAGACTTGTAAATGTAAATGACACTCACCTTCAAATATATTCTGGATGATGAGGTAGCTCTGGGTGACAACAATAAGTAGAGCCACGTGTGTCCAGGCGAAGAGACTGAACTGTCTCATGTAGTACCTCTTGACGAGGGACAGGACGAACCATACGAAGCCCACGCAGTAGAGACTGAATGAGATGAAGCGATGGTACGTCACCAAGAACTTCAGGTAGTCCTGTTGAAGACGTGCGAGATTAGAATCAAGTTTTTTGTTCTGGAAATGGGCTGATACTTGTTCATGGTAATAGCTGATTGGCGAAACAGTTGACGCAGTATCTGGACGGCCTATATGTTAAGGTTTAGATTACTGTAAAATATTCTGTTAAATTTAGAGTTTTCTAGGTTTAGATGTGATCTTAATCTGCTTTAATCCACGATACAGACAAAACACGCTTAAAGGCTTGTAAATTTAAATAAGTACTGCAATAATTATGTTATGGTAAAATAAGAAACACGAAAGTGAAAATAAAACAAACATAAATTATATCGAAAGTAAAACGATACATTGATTGACAGATAGACAACAGTGATTATACTTTTTGTACGAGACCTGATTATATTATCGACGCAAAGTGAGCAAAAATGTAAGTTATTCACATAAATAATTCAAAGAGCTCTCGTAATACAAGCACGTCAAAACATTGAATCATAATTTATTTTTTATGCCGTACATTGTCTTACCTGTAATAAAGATTGATCGATGAAAATTCACGACGTATAAAATGAGGCATTCCATTTAATGGAGGATTTCAGAGGTGTTTCAAAATGTTGGGGTAGACTGATCACCTGGTGGTAAGTGATCAGTGATGCCCATGACAACACTATAGGAGCTGCAAGAGCATTGCGACCTTTAAAACTCTTCTCCATCTAAGTAGATGTTCGTATATTATATAGAACACATGATAGTTAAATTGCTAAGTATCTTTAAGAAGAAAATACCAATGACGGTATGTTTTAAAATGGTTTACATTTCCCATTCATAAATAGGTACAATCTCGTAAGGCCAGTTATAATGCGTTTACTAATAAAATATACGGTCATAGTTACTGCGTTAACTGTCTCATTTCTTGGCAAGACACCAATTATTACCCTCAGAGAAGAAAGGGACATAAATGTAAAAGTTCCGCTATGGTCGAATAAACCACCTAATAGTTATCAACTAGTAAACGGCTAGATTCTACCAAATGTATTACCAACCCAATTTGTCTATTTCCTTGATCAAGTAATCGTTTTAAAACGTTCTCATTGGTGGAAACTAATGAATGCCTGAGTACTTTGGTAAAATGAGGTCAATCAGTTAATTTAATTGGTTGGTTAATCCGATAAAGCAATCGGTTTTAATACATATTAGTAACAAACAAACGTGTATTGTTTATTTTCCGCTGCAGCTTATGACAGTCCAGTAATCAATGGGCCTCCTCTACATTATGGTTTCCCACAATGTCCACGCTTGGCTGGTGTGTTGGAGACAGTAATTTGAAAGGTAAAGATAAAGGTGAAAATACTTAGACAAAAAAAGTAATGACAAATATATTACTGTGCCGTCACGACACGATTTTTGTGTTTAATCCTTTAATCATTATTGTCGCATAACAACTTGTAGTTTATTAACGTTATTAGAATCGTTGCTACGCAACAGCCACGATGGTTGTATTGTATCCACGTGTCACGTTAATGTGCAATATACTCTGTTAGATTAGACTATTACTGTCTCCAAGTAACTACCATTAATCGATTAAATTTTAATGCGGGCTACTAGAATGTCTATCCGATTATATTATTCTTCGTTATTCCTTTTTGCTTTAGCAATAGGATAGAGGCATCCGTAATCTCCTAATTAATTCAATAGGATTGAAGGAAAACCGCGTTTCATTCTGATTTTCGCGTTTAATCCAAGGACGATCTATGACATTTCATAATGACGAAGGACATTTTTTGACAATCGAGGATTATACATGTCCAGACACTGACGGGACATATCAACCATAGGTGTTTAGATATGGCAACAAATGTCAATTTTTCACAAAAATATTTATAACTACGTAGATAATGCAAGCAAGGCCAACAACACAATCTCGGTCACTCAATCAAGCGCTTATCATAACGACTTATTAATGACGTAGAGGCATTCAAATCACGCGTCGGCCATTGATGAAAGATAGATAGTGCTGGTAAACTGTGAATCATTCTAGTATTTTCGTATGACCAATGTCCATTTGTGGTCATACGATGTTCTTATTAATGTTATCATTGGAGATAGTTATTTTATTGTGGCTTTTACGTTGCTAATTGACGGTATTGGAATGTTTAATTTAATATAGTAACAGATCTAGTCGATAGTAACATGAAGTTTGTTGCTAGGAAATAGGATTTGTTTGAATAATTCTGTAGACAATTTTAATCTTTGACATAAAATATGTTTCAAAATTATTTAGAATTCCTAAAAGACTGGTACTAACTTTCTACCAAAACGTAAGTTTTAAAAGGTTACTCCAACTTACAATTTTCTGTAGAACTCTCAAAAAATATCAAACTAACCTAGCAATAATAATTTTAAGATCATTTTACTCCGTACTTTTGATATCGATTCTGTCCTATACATATGTAAACAAGAACTACGAACTAAGATACGAAATTTTCTTATCATTATCAGTTGATCGTACGATTACTGACTGGCAATAAAGGTAGATGTCTATTCGCATAAATTATTTCATCAGATAAGATTCAGTGGGGTGATGCAATTGATTATACCTATTATATGGTATTTGTTTATACGAGTTTTTCCGAACCATTTGCACTGGTACATTTAACGTTTAACGGTTAAACTATTATTTGTTGTGTGATGTGGATAAAACCTCTTATTATGAAGATTTTTCGTAGTGACTAGCACATCAACTTACTACCCCAATGTGTCAGTTCATTGTCATTGGATTTTTGACTTCATTTGTAAATGATAGAGTTGAAAATATCAATCTCAAAAACAGAGTAGGTTGACCTGCCACCCACTGTACAATGAAAAACATGTTTAATAGCCATTGATTCTGTTTGTCACACAACTCACATGGTATGATATGAACAACCATGATATTCATAGTTGAGAATGTGAGTTTATTAAAAAAGGCCTTCCGTATAACGCTCCAGTCATTCATGTAAAATAATTAAATGAATCTAAGACTTATTTTAGAGGTGTACCCTATAACTAGAAACTGGAAATTAGGAATCAAAGAAAAGAATTAGAAATACACACTTAAGTATTATACTAACTATACAATCTTTAATCAATGTAATGTTACCGTACCATAGTTCGAATCCATTACCTAAGTTTAATGAATACCTATTAACATAACGTTCCGTTCGTTATACCCGTAAATTGAGTTTATTTATAGGCCCCTGAATCAATGGATTTCAATAAAGTGATAGATGGAACCTTATCTATTTTTGTTTATTACTATAAACTAATCTCGCGCGGTTACACGCGCTGCTCGACTCCTATTGAACAAAAATTATTTATTCGATTCGAAGTCTACAGCTGTACCCACCTTGTATATAGTAATACCCTGTATAATGTCATGCGAAATCTCGTGAATGACAAAATTACGTAGACGGATACGCGATTTGCATCACAATGAATTCAATTTAAATTTCTCATCTGAGAGAATTGTAATATTCATGTGCGGAAAATCGGAAATCAAATTGAGGTAGTATGTGCGCGAAAATGCCAATTGTGGAAGAAGAAATGTTACACTAAAATGTAACTCGGTATTGTTTTAAGGTTTTATCTCGTACATCAGGTTCATAATACTCAATAAGGGCTAGCTATAGGTAAGGCAATTATATTCGTAACCATAATTTTCTTGTAGAAAGACTATTATCAGAATGTATTTTTGTCCACTGTCCATGGCCTTGAAATTGTCTTTGTTGTATTAGCATTAAAGGTCATTTTTGTCGGACAAACACTATGTAATGAATGAGCATTGTTAGTTGCCATGGCAATTATTATTTTTACCTACAAGTTTTAGTTAACTATCTTTTATTACTAGTTGAATTTCTTATTGTGTTATGATGGGTGTATTCAACTACTTACTGAAATGAAATAACCATCTAAACAAGTTTTCCCATGTGCGTATCAAAAAGTCGCGTCGGCTAAAAACGCCATCTATCATCTATGACAAGTATTTTAATTACATTTTTAAGCAGTAGTCCCTACTTTTCTCACTATAATATTAACATAAACAAATAATTTAATTGTCCAATAAATAATAAGAGACAAAACTGTACGAAAAGTTCACTTACCGTCCTATTAATGACGACTCCAAAGTAATCAATGAGGTTCTCTCCATAGAAGAAGTAGTTGGAAGTCAGCAGGAAATACCAGGAGAGGGACCTGAACCATGGCAGACCATGGACGCGGTAGACGGCGTAACCAATGTTGATGATCTCTTCGAAACATTTCACTTGCACGCACAGTACCTGGTGATGGAAATATGAAGTTAATTTTTGGGTTAAAAATATTTTTTTTAAAAATATATAAAATAACTATTCTACTTTATTTTATAAGTACTTAAAATAAGTCGTGGGGGCATTCCACTTTGCGCACCTAAATGAAGCGCACCCAGACGAAGCGCACCTAAAGTATTCCACTTTGCGCACCTCTAGGTGCGCTTAAAATAAAAATTTTATATAAATAGTTTTTCTATTCCACGAAGCGCACCTACAAATATCACTCGCATAGTGCGGAGACTAAGAAATAAAAATATCGATATAAGAACATATTTATTATTTAAAAGACTAACTTAAATTTCTAACATCATTCAGTTTCATTATAATAATGTGACACAATATTGATATTTGTCCATGTTTTTATTGTAATTATGAAACAATCTGTGACTTTTTATGTTAAAGTAGAGTATTTTTATTGTTCACTAAACATGTAGCTATAAGAAAACTTCAACAGATCTTTATGTAAAACCATATTTACAATGTTTTTCATATTTGTCCATGTTTTTATTGTAATTATGAAACAATCTGTGGTTTTAAATAGTAAGATTACAAAATCAAAATGACAAAATATTGTGTCACATTATTATAATATAATGAAACTGACAGATGTTAGATATTTAAGTTAGTCTTTTAAATAATAAATATTTTCTTATATCGATATTTTTATTTCTTAGTCTCCGCACTATGCGAGTGATATTCGTAGGTGCGCTTCGTGGAATAGAAAAACTATTTATTTAAGTTTTATTTTAAGCGCACCTACAGGTGCGCAAAGTGGAATACTTTAGGTGCGCTTCATTTAGGTGCGCAAAGTGGAATGCCCCAAGTCGTGCATAGGTTTAATGCAATTGTGTAATAAAAAGTGCGGGGAAAGGTTGTTTTTTTAAAAAGTTTAAGTAACCCAAAAAATATTACAAGGTATTATGTTTTGTATCAGTTTCTCCTAAATTCCACAAAAGACAACTATTTTGAGTTGAGTATACACTTTAATTTTTCTGTAATTATTATTATGTATGTCTTTACCATTCACGGGACCACATGGTCCCGGTCATTTGGGAGGCGTACGAGGGGCCGAAGCCAACTGCGCAGAGGCCCTTTAGACAACTTTAATCTAAATGTAATGGACACACAAACCGGCGACTATCCCTGTATGCACTATGGAAATGCACTCAAGGACAGTCCCCGGTTAGTGTAGGACTATTGTGAATAATGGAAAAAAAAAGGTAGGGCTATGGATGGGTTGTTGTGGACTGGTAAATTGGGAACTATGGATGACTATGGCACCTGCCGAAACAATGTAATTATTACACGTAAAAATGGCAGGCGGAGACTCGCCAACTCACCGACCGGGCCCCGGGAATGGCTGCTAGATATAGCAACAGAGGGGCAACGAGAATGTGAGTGGCTGAAGGGTTAAGAAACTACCACCGCTTTCTACTCAGATCATCTGCTCCAGCCGAAGCTTCCTGCATCCCTGGCCCACTCGCGACTTACGAATAGTTTCTTACCCTCCGAGCAGGATCACTGCTCTCGCGACTCCACTCTGGACGGCCAATGAAGGCAAGCCAGAGGTGGGAGACCTGTTCCTTGTCATCGTTCACTCCAGCCAGCCAATTAAGGCAAGCCGGAGAAGAAGGAACGGTGACTTCTCCCTGGAGCACTCGGGATGATGGTAGCCCGCGGGATCGCTAATGCCCGTCACCTCGCCTCAAGGTGCCCTGCGGGCTCAAGGTGCCCTGCGGGCTAATTATTATTATTATTATAACTAGATACAGTTACTACAATTATAATTTATTCTGACGTTATTCCGTAGATTACGAAACGCCAACTAGTATTTTGGAGGTCACACACGCAGCGGATGCGTTGTGGCATGCAGCTACACGGTCGCGGTCGGTTGACTGTTATTGGTCAACTTCTGTAGACACATTCAATTTCATACATAGTTACTATTTCATAGACTCTATGTCATAGACAGACAAAATAAAATATAATTTATCGAAGAAAAAAAAAATACTAGCTTTACAACCGCGTTATAAAAACCACGACAAAATTAGGAAGGAAAATTTATGTGTCTACTACACCAGAATTTTCCTGAGGAATCACACTACCCAATGATAAAAACCGTACATAAATAATAAAAATTAAAAAAAAAAAACAAAAAAAGTTAATTTTAAAAGTTCCTTTTAAGCAAGATATGGCTGTGTTAAAAGACAAGACATGCATTATAAACTTCCATAAATACAAATATTGCTTATTCTAATTTAGCTAGGTACTCAAGTTTAGGTACCTACATAATTGAAATATGTCCATCAGTTTTAGAGTTCATAGTGTCCGTACAGAGAGACACAAAACAGGACTTCTGTATTTAAAAACGTGAGGATAGTTTGTGTGGCCCACTAACTAATTAATTCGGTTTGTATAATTCTGTAAATGTTTAGAATGAAACAAAGAATGGATTGCCAGTAAAAAAATAGTACTTTTAAGCACAAGTAATAAAGAAACCAGATTATCTCATGCAAATCAGTTACATTTGTTATGTAAATTATTAAAATCTACTGGAGGAGGAAGTTGGATTTCCTACTACATTGTCATCATTTAACTATGTTAACTTATTTTAAAAATAAGAGGTAAATATAGACTTTAACTCGTCGAGTACCGGTTTTATAGACACAATTAAAGAACAATAGGTCGCGGTCACCGGTGACCGCTTGGTGTTTGACAGTTTAAAAGAGTTTGTAAAATATTGTGACTGCAAACAAAGTGGTTATTATTTCTTTTTTTTATTCTAGTAGTAGTATACTGATAAAATTATCTAAACAAATAGTTACTAGGTAGTTATTTACTTTCGCAACAAAACAATGTTTTTTAAATATTAACTAGTTGTTAACTAATTATGCCACAGAGCTGCAGACTACAAAATAGGTTAGCAGACCTGCGGCTCAAAGCAGAGGTAGACACGGGGCGGTTTTTTATCAGTAAGAGTCTGACAGGCGGGAGAAGTCTTTGAATAATTTTCCCCCTCAATAAAAAATACTACTTAGTTATACTAACACTAAATCTTTTTAAAAAAGTATGCTCAAAACGGAATAGGTCACTTACTGTGATCATAAGAGCCAGTGGTCCTCCATAGATGAGCAGGCAGAACGCAGCAATCATCAACCAGGTGAAGATGCCTCGGATAACCCAGTTCCTCCATCTAAATGAAAATTAATATTAAAATGTTTAATGCCATGGCGGTCACTGGCGACTGATATTAACAAAGGATTTGCCTTCAATAGTTTTGTAATAGCAGTCAAAGGCTTAATTTAGTTTGTCAAAAACTTAGATCAATCCATTTGAGATGGGTAATTAATTTTCACCCTAACTATAGAAATTATAAGAAAATCTAACTTTCCACATACATTGTAAGACATAAAGACTTGTGAGTAGAATATTTTTTTTTTCTTTACAAAATATATTCAATTTGCAAGTACCTTATTGGTAAGATAAATATAATATCAGTAAAACTGCCTCGTTGGCCGAGTGGTCGCAAGTGCGGCTGCCGGGCAAGGAGTCTCGGGTTTGATTCCCGAGTCGGACAACGACTATGACTCAGTTTTATAAAAATTCTCCGTAGTAGCACAGAGTCTGGAATTTGCCCGGTATATGGCAAAAGGCTCACCCCCTATTACATGGGACTCATGGCATAAATAGTGAAAAGTGGGTGTTACTTTGTACAATGGCATAATGTACACCTCTGCCTTCCCCTATGGGGATAAAAGGCGTGATGTTATGTTAAATAATAGTATTTATTTAGTCAAACATATTTCTATTAGATCAGATTTATTTTATATTATTTCATATAGCTAATATTCATACATAAGTGGATTTCCTATATAAAACAAGTTTGAACAATTTACATTTTAATGATAATGAAAGTATTAATATTGACCTTACTCCACATGGTTTTAAAAACGGGTTTATCACTGAGTATTATCTAAAATAGAATTAAACAAGGATTTACTGTGACAACCTCTTTGGTTATCCATTTTTTTAGTATAGGCATACAAATTTTTTTTTACTCTGAACAAATAATATCTTAGTTATTTTCTGTTGTTAGTTTCTTAATCAAGCCCTAATTAATATTAAATAAATCATTGGTAGTGTAAAAAATATTTTATGTGCTGCAAATAACATATGTTATTATTTTCTTTGTTTATCAAAAGATATTTGTAAACTTCGTAAAAAAAATATTGCATTATGGAATTCTGATACACGACTTCGTAAGTTCTCGGCGTCTATTTTGTAAGCAAACTTCAAATTAATTCTACAATTACATGATATCATAATAATAGAACAACAATACATCTTCCTCAACTATTTTATAAATAGAATGCAAATGTAGCAAAAAACTGTATTACCTTGACGATAGTCCCGAAAGCGCAGAGTCAAGGATTTCCGGAGTTTTATCCGTTCCCTGAGGCAAAGACTTCGCCAATTCATCCACATATTTTTCTTCTATATTCTTCTCCTCCTCCGAATCAACCTATTAATTATGCATTACAATATTACTTAACAGAATTTTTATTACAAACTGGTTTTATGTGAGAATTAACAATATAATAAAGCACGTACGTGATCAGATTCGCCAGCGTTCTCCAGTTTGTCGTTTCCATCACCTTCCCCGCGCCGATGTCTTAATTCACTCATATCCTTTGTTTAGATTCAAATAGCTTTTCACAAACAACAACCGATTTGACACTGGACACTTCACTAAATAGAATATTTTAATTCATTTAACCGAGAAAAATAAAGAATCCGAGAATGTTTTCCAGCGACTTGTCAAATGAAAAATCAATAATGTTTTTTTTTATTCAATGTTGCCAGTCTATGACTAAAACAACAATGGTAGGAATATATAAGTACAAATTCGTGCGATATCTGAAATTCAATATATTATTATTTTTTTAACGACATAAACTAGTAGTTCAGTAATTAGGTAGTTTTACCTGGAATATTTTCCGGGAATTTTGAAAATCGGCAATTTTATAGATTTTGATGTACTCTTTTTGATATTCATTTTGCACCTTTGTACCTGCGCTCCTAACGCCACCATCTTGGAAATCTAACAGCCAAACAGTTTTTTACAATACCTCTCCTCATTTCTGTTTTTACGAGAAAACTGTTAACTACAAAATTAAACTACTTACAATTTTCTATAATTTATGTTTAGACAACCATTTTGTACCATGTACCATTTGACTGCCTCATTGGTCGAGTAGTCGCAAGTGCGACTGCCGGGCAAGGGGTCTCGGGTTCGATTCCCGGGTCGGGCAAAGTATTACTGGGTTTTTAAAAAATTCTCAGTAGTAGCACGGAGTCTGGAATTGTGCCCGGTATATGGCAATAGGCTCACCCCCTATTACATGGGACTCATAACATAAATAGTGAAAAGTGGGTGTTACATTGTACAGTGGCATAATGTGCACCTCTGCCTACCCCTTCGGGGATAAAAAGGCGTGATGTTATGTTATGTTATGTACAACCATTTTGTAATTTTGGCATCAGAGCACCGCAAAGTACATTTTATGTTTTTTCAATTTCAAAAAAAATGTGCCCGGTTCATGGCAATAGGCTCACCCCCTATTACATGGGACTCAATAACATAAACCAGTGAAAAGTGGATGTTACATTGTACAGTGGTATAATGTACGCCTCTGCCTACCCCTTTGACGATAAAAGGCGTGAATTTATGTTACCTTTGATAAGTTTTAGATAGAAATAATAAAATTGAAAATTAAATAAAAAAAAATAAACTCAGATATTTACTTTACGTCTTCGACATTTTCTTTTAATTTTATGTTGTGTGGTAGGTAGGTACGAAAATTATTTACTGGATTTTATTATTTAAACCAGAGTCCATTAAAAAGGCTAAAATCCTACTGTTTTGTTATCTGCGAAAGGGTAAAAGTAGTTTTTGAAAAACATGTTTCGGCAACTATCTCAGATAAACGTCAAACTTTCTAATAAACGTAAACATGGCGAGTGATTCAGATGATTTTGATAAAAATATAGAAAATGTAAGTTATTTCTGAAAGATTTAATATAACTATTAACTACTGGTTTTAGAAATGTATTTATTTTGTGGTGTTGTAATTTCAGCTCAAAAGCAACGTTAGAGCGTCGTTCGCGCGAGTATATGCAACTTTAAAAGCTCGGGAATTAAAAACTTTACGACAACTAGATGCTATAAGTAAACAATGCCAAGACGACAAAGACTTGAAGCGGAATTGTGTTCAAAATATTCATATATGCTTCGATAACGAGTCCACACTACTAGAGAATGTAAGTAATTATGGTGTTATTGATTTTGAAAAACTGAACTTTGATAGTAATACTTTTACATTAGAAGATTATGTGAACCCTGAGGATGACCATATGTACTCGTATAAAACTATTGAGGAGGTGACTAAGGAGGTTGGTGAAAAGGAGGCGGACTTAGAGGCTATAGAGGAGGCTGCTTTGAAACAGATTACTGCCACAGACAACTGTGTATGTTATGTAAATATTAAAACCGAAGAATCAAAAAAATTTAGGGATTTAGAAACTAGTCCATCGCCAGGCAAAGTATGTGAGAGTGAGACTAACCACATTAGCTTGGATAACAATGAGGTTGAATGTCCAGACTGTCCGGAGAGTATTACGGAAGATGATAAAAGTGACAGTTCTGATGCAGATATAAAAAAAATAGATCCGACAGATGATTGGTTAAACTCAATTAAAAGTCAGACTGAAACGGAACCCTCGCAAGTAACCGATGTAATGGAACACAGCACTATAGCTTGTTTATAGCAGAACTTAGTAGTGATATTGATATGAATTTACATTTTACGAAGTAGTTAATAAATTTTATATTTTGTATACGATTTGGTTTTATTGGGATCATTTTTGAACTACATGCGTACATTCATACATATTGCCTATGTTATTTATAACTTACATCGAAATTGTATTATTATAAAGAAGAGCTACATTGAGATAACCGTGGATACGGATAGAGGACTTTATTGGAGAGACATCTATAAATGATACACAGACAGTAGATATTTTTCTATAAATATTTGCATGTTACTTCTCACATAAACACTTGTGTTTTGCGACTTAGAACATGGCGGTAAGTGTAATGCCATTTCATTACAGTTACTAAATCATATTCTAGCATTAATGTCTAGAATTAGCATTCTTCTGTATGCTACTAAGTACTGCACAAAACTACACCATGCCTGCATATTGTGCTAAGTGTGTTTGCGCAAATGTACCTACTCTCTTAAACTATTTTTTTAGTATAAATTAAGGTTTTATTTGGGAGGGAAAGTAGTTAGATAGGAAGGGAAATGGCCTAAAGATCTCATTTTGTAAATAAGAAAATAAAACGACATTATTTAAAGCATCATCTTATATTGTTAATAAATTTTTACAAATGGCGTTATTACTGAATTAAACTAATTGCGATATGACTTCAGATTATGTTCCCTATGAATAAATACCCATTGCTTTCATACACAATTATATAGCAAAATTCTTAGACATGTAATGATCAATCAAATACCGCTTCCCATTCCATATTTCGCCCGCATTATGTAATACTATGGTTTTATGGCACTTAATACATGACATACATTTTACAAATCATTCCTATAAATTCCCATTGTTGGATGGAATCTGTTGGAGTTAGGTATTCTAGTTTGTACTCGACTTTTTCACTGGAAATATTACTGTGATGGCACGAACAGAAGTGCTGTGGAGGGAATCATTTAATACAGGATATCTAATAGCGTGAGAGCCGCATATTTACTAAGATAGTGAAACTACAATATGGCTACATTTCAATTACAATTCTATTACAATCGAATTAGGCACTAATTTCCCACGTAATTAGGCAGTTTTAGGCCACTTTTTGTTCTCACAGGTGTTACTATTTTATTGTCTCGATAATTTAAAGTGAGCTACAAACTAAGAATTTTCCGATTATTCATTTACGATTATATTTTATGAATACTGTGTTAAATAATTTCTACGTTGATACTTTCGATGATAATAAGTTAGTAAAGACAAACAAAATTTTAATAATAGGGGATACAATGTGTTTAAGAGATAAATTCCGTAAGTAGGGAGTACAAAATCTTAAACGAGTAACATTTTTGAACTTAACGTACGAAGGTATTGCGTATCTAAAGCGTGTTACAATGTAGTTATGAATAAGTTTTATTACTATCTTACATCATACAGTGTTATGTCTACTATTGTACATTTTACAACAAAAAATATATGATAATTGCTATACAAGGCCAAAGTCTGTGCACACAGCGGCGACATCACGATTGTTCTGCTTCTCCGAGTTGTTGGCAGCCATGTTCAACTCGACAAGCGTGTCGACGCTATTGATACTGACGCCTTTCAATATCTTTTGCGCTGCTAAACTAGTGAAATTAAAGCTCAAATCGCTTAAACTCGGAAAATTATAGAAATCCTGGTTTTCCTTCTTGCTCTCTTGGCTCAGGCTGTACCTCTTCTGTTTGTTTTCCAAGCAATTCAATTTCTCTAGTGACGTGTTTATGTCCTTTATAGGCTCTTGGTTCTTCAGTGCTAAGTTCGGCTCGGACCCCAGCACTGTCGGTTTCTGGTCGATAGCTTTCGTAAGCATATTCGCTATGGAATCCGAGCTTACCCTGTTATTTACATTAGGGAGTCCGTTCAGCATTTGTAACGCTGCTGCCTTTTTTAGCAAGTCGACGCTTTTCAGCTCGCTATTTGAATTTATATTCGGTTGTATCCCGCTGTTGGCTGAAGACAACGAGTTCTTCTGGTACCTCAAACTTCCCAACGATCCTATAATGTTATCGTAACTTTTAGTTGGCGTCGAAGGAATACTATTTGCAGTAGTTTCCAAATTATTTATATTATTATGAATGGCTGGAGAAGCAGGATTGGATGCAACTTCGTTCGTATTATTTAATTGATTTTTGTACACAAAACTATTGTTGTTAGTCGCACCACCAATTTGCAACGATAGCTTACGATTATTGTTCATACCCGCGTCGTTAATTGAATTCTTATTGAACTTATTTTCTTGAACTTTAATCGGTTCCTCTTGCTGATACATCTGTTTATTCTTTTCAACACAAACATCAAATGAGGTTTCAGTCGGGTTTTTTGCAGTTTTATTTTGCACTCCGTTCTGTGACACGGAAACGACCTGCCTATCGTCGTTGATGATGTAAATATTGCTCCCGTTTGAAGTCTCGGTGACTTTGCCATTCTCAAAAGTAATAACGGACCTTACTGGCGAATTTTGTACATAAACTTTGGTGTTAGTACCACCACCGTTCTGAGAGATAGTATTTGTGGTAACTTTTAGCGTGATAGAGTTGTTAGAATTAGAGCTGGCCAACATCGTCGTTGACGGGTTTTCTACCTTAGTCCCCAAGGTTTTATGCAGCGGGGTTGCGGTTTTTTTGGGTGTGCTTGGACAGTTTTTTGGCGAACTTTTGGGTGATGTGTTACCGTTTTTTACCGTTTCACCACCGACCATGGGTGGTTTTGTTCTGAATTTGTGCAGGCTCTTTGGCGAACTCTGTAAGCTCTGTACTTTGACGAGTGACTGTGCTCTGCTAAGGCCGGGGGCTCCGTGTGCGTTGCTATGACTAGGCGAAGGCTTTAACGTGCGGTCAGAAATGTGGGACTCTAAACTGGAATGGCCGCTACTCCCGCTAGTGTTGTAGCCCCGTTTCATTGGAGAGTTTTGGTCTAACTGACCGTTTTTAACGTCCTTTCTTGGTGTGCGTTGTGGGTGTGTGGTAGTACTTTCTAAACTGGAAGGACCACTAGTTGACATGATGTGGTCTGAATTGGAGTAATCCACCCTCCTGAGGCTTCCGCTTGGACTGTCTCTTAGTTTGGGATCGCTATTTCTTTGTGGTGATCCGAAGTGATCGAGGATGGTTTTATTGGTGGAACTCCTACTTAGAGTGGAGCGTGGTAAGCTGCCAGAGCTGGGGCTGGAGTGCCTGACGGGCGAGTGATCGTAGTGAGAGCCCGCCAGTCCCGACTCCGTGGAGAGGTGGCGCTTGTGCCGCCTTGGCAGTGTCGACGACCGATTACTGATCTCTGAACCGTCGTAGTATGATGAGACGAAAGATGTTTGACTCTGCAATGACTCCTGGAAACAAAACATAATAATTAGATAATGATTACATGATTAGTTAATTTTACACGTATCTATGCTAACCAGGTTTATCCTTGGCTCAGCACGCGCGATATTTATTACCGTCACATGTTTACTTTGTGTGACTAATTGCGTGGCATGCTTATTGATAATAGCTAAACCTTGGAGGACTGTACGCCGTAAGACGACATAAAGAGTAACGCTTCGTCCTCTTAGTTGTATATTGTAAAATTAAGTCAAAATACACACAAGGCATTCGTTCACCAACTTGGTATATGGCCAGAAAAAGGCTATAGGTACTGATGTAGAAGTATTTATCTCCATCAATGATGATGAATATATGCAAAACGACCTCCTTCCCGTTGCTTCCATTTGCGCAAGCTACAGCATGTGACAGTTCACAGCTGGGCTTGCTTTTACAAAAGAGCAATTAACGACTATTAGATATTATGTTATGAGACTGAGAAGTTATACATACCTTTGAGTTGGTCTGTGTGGCGACGCAGTGTAGGTGCACCGCCTTGGAGTTGAACCACTCCGTAGGCGGGAACTGCGCAGAGAAGGTGCTCATCGCGCGCGTCTGCTTGCTGCGGCCGCTTCGTCTGAATAAGCGGGACAGCAGGGACACTTTCTCTGAAATTATTAAGGGTAACTTTAAGTTTTGTGCAGTCAATTCATATTTTTGAGGGTTCTATAGGATATGAAGAAGACGAGTTAGAAAAATAAGGAGATAGGATAACTAATCCTGCACTATTACAAGTAAATAGCCTTACAATAATAAATACTAATTTAAGTATGTTTTTATGGTAGAATCGTACTAAGAAAAATTAGATTAGGTGTATTATAGGTAAACAAAAGTAACGACTTTGACTAAGTATGCCAGTTAAAAAATACTTTTTTTTTTTTGTAAGGGGGGAAAATCATCGAATGACTGCTCCCGCCTGGGTGAGGCGGAAGGGAGTGTCAGACTCTTACTGACTAAAAACCACCCCGTTCCTTCTCCTGCACGTCAAGCCGGAGCCCCGGTTACCCGTTAGGTTCTCCGCGACAGTTAAAAAAAAAAAAATACTAAGCAACTTATTCTTGCACAGACACTAAAATAACCAGATTTCAAAGCTTTTTGTATATACATGCTTATTTGAAATCATTATAATATTGAAAATAGGTAGGTACGTAGGTGAGTACTTGCCAGGTTTCGAACCCACACTATCAAGTAGTTCAACCACAGGGCCAACACCGCATTCTCCGATTTTAGATTCCTGTAGAACATCTAATTTATATGGTTAAAAATGTGTCTACAGAAATTGAGATATAGGTTAACTTACGAAACAAAGCTTAAGTTTTCTTTGTGGCTTAGATCGGACTCTAATTGAAACTTCCTTAGACTACCTTCATACTTATATAGGACTCTTAATTAATCTAAGTGCAGTTTAACTCAAGAACTTCCCATTGACACTGGACAAACTGTCATACCCGTGGCATTTATAAATGTATAAGGGAAGCTGCTAAGGGACCACTTACTTAGCTGGATGTAAAGAAGCATCGGTAAAAAAATATTAAAGAGAAACTTACTAGGTGACGCAGATTCGACGCTCGGCGGGTAATCGGTGGACGACGAGCTGTCGGTGGTGTTGGCGTTCTTGTGATGAAGGCTTCTGGTTGAGGCACACCTCTGCAGGTACTTGCTGGAGGAGCCGAAGATCCGCAACGAGTTCCGCCGGTCTAAGGACCGAGGAGCAGGGAATGACGCACTCCGTCTCTTGTTTGGACGACCGTACAGGATTTTGTCGTTGGGATTGCCTGAAATTGAGAATTTAGGTGTTAATTAATCCTGTGGCTTTGGTACTTAGTTACTGGTGCCTGTTAAGGGTTTTTGGAAGACATAGATGCAATGAAGTTTAGGTTCCAAATAGAATGAGGTACCTACATGATTTCCAAACTAGGAAATTTATTATTGCTCTAAAAAAGAAAAACTTGACTACGACATGTGTGTTAATATTGAATTGGACAGCGTCTAATCAAAAATATCTCTTGTTGTCCAACTCAGTAAAGTTTCGTCAATAAAGGCATAATGGTGAGCTTTATCGACGTAATAATTACAAATAGGCATATAATAAACAGTTTCCTTTTAATTGTAATAATGGTGCTCACACCTAATAATAGTCCCCTTTTACACAATAGTACACCACACTAAAATTATGCGAATGTGAGCATTTAATAGCGTCATTACAAATGGGAATATATTCCAAGGTATTTGTTTGTGCAGGATTTAAATTTAACAGACATTAATGTTTTGTATGTTGCTTTGTGACCGTTATAAATGTTTTCATAATCTTTGCTTGTTAAGTTTTACTAATGGGTTGCGATAAAATGGCTCGGTTTTGAAATACGATGTTATGGACGAGGTACTTTAATGTATGTTTTAGTGATTGGTTTGGCATAAATGTCGCAGTTTCACATTGTTGAGGAGTTAGATTCTAGTCATTTGATGTTTTAAGGTTTTTTTTTTAAGGTGGGAAAATCATCGAATGACTGCTCCCGCCTGGATGAGGCGGGAGGCAGTGTCAGACTCTTACTGACTAAAAACCACCCCGTTCCTTTTCCTGCACGTCGAGCCGGAGCCCCGGTAGCCCGTTAGGTTCTCCGCGACATGTTTTAAGGTTTGGAAAGATTATATTGCATACCGCAGAAAGACAAGTAACTTTTTATAAAAGACAATGTGTTTAAAAACGGAGATTTTTATGGATTTCGTTTCAAAGTTCCTCTTTTGTTCTGATGCCTTTGTATTGTCACCAAAATATTGGCCAAATAAGAGCAAAACTTAGACCACGTATTCCGAACGAAAAAGAAATTCAAAGAAGTCTAAAATCGGCAACTCCCCAATTTGAATTTAACATTCAATTTTTATTTTGAAAATGTGAAATGTCAAAGTGTTGACATGACACAGAAATCTCATTAACCGTTCAAAAAGCCAATAATTCATCGGAAACGCGTGCGCGCGCGCAACTGACGCACAAAGAGCGATCCCAACAGTTGCTCTTATAAATCAAGGGCGGACTTGACAGATGTGTAAATACCTACAGTAAGAGTACAGACTGCACATGCACATTGCACATATAAGACCATCCATTGTAAAATGACCTCTTGTGTAGTAAAAGGTTATGAAAGATGGAATGTCAATTTAAATTAGAAAAATTTGACCTATTTTCGTATCATACGTTGTATGGAACGTACATAAAACACCTATATATTTAGATAGCTAGGTCCCTATTAGTGTGTTCTTCAAAATTAATTCTTCCTACCTAAGTATCAAGGTACTGTTTCCTATTCTCATGATTTTCTTTACCTACAACTAAATTCTTACTATTTATCAGCCGTGTGTAGTTGGCTAATTGCCATGTGATTGACCTAAAATCATTTTAGCCATTCAAATATGGTGTCTTTCTTGCCTCACTTTAAGTCAAGTTTGAACTTCTAATTAAAAATGTCAAACAATTTAAGTCCATATTCATACTAAGTTTAGCTTAGTTTAGTATTAAACAGAAGTGTATGTGACTGTTTGTGTTGACATGACCGATCTGTTCGCAGTTCCAGTAATTAATATTGCATTTAATTGAGGTTATAAACTCTTGTCTCTGTAAACATGAAAAGAAGGTCTAGTTGGGTCTCCCGTGGTATTAAGATATGTAGCAAAAGGAAGCGTCAATTGTTATGGAAGTATAGACAAAAACCTACCGATATAAATAAAAATAAATTTAAAAATTATTCAAAAATACTTAAAAAAATTATTTATTTAACTCAACGAGCACAGAATACGCATAAAATTCAAAAATCAAACAATAGGTCTAAGACTACTTGGGAAATAATAAATCAAAGAAAATTAAATTTACCAAAAAATACTATAGACAAAATTCTATATAATAATGAAACTGTTACTGACCCCAGGATTATAGCAGATATATTTAATAACTATTTTATAGATAAAATAAAACCTATAACTAGTTCGGGAACCATAGTCACTAAACATATTTTGGCAAAAAAAGACTCAATGTTTATGGCGCCTAGCCTGGCAATTGATGTATTAAAAATTATAGCGGCCTTAAAAAATACAAACTCTGTAGGAGACGATGGCATATGTACAAAAATTGTAAAGTCAGTGGCATATGAAATCAGTAGTCCCTTAAGTTACATAATTAATTTAAGCATAAGTGAAGGTATATTTCCGACTGAGCTAAAAAAATCAATTATAAAACCACTGTTTAAGAAACAAGACAGGGAGCAAGTGGAATTTTACAGGCCTATATCACTTATATCAGTAATGTCGAAAATTTTTGAAAAATACATTTATAGGGAACTTAATAACTATTTTGAAAAAAATAATATACTCTGTGACGAACAGAAAGGATTTAGGGAGAAAAAAACAATCAATTTGGCCATATATGATTTCTTGTATAATGTTATGACAAACATGGATAAAAACACACCAGTCTGCGCCATTTTCTGCGACATGACACAGGCTTTCGACTACGTACAGCATAATATACTACTAAATAAACTTGAGGCATATGGTATCAGGGGAAATGTTTTAAATCTAATAACATCATACCTACATAATAGAAAACAAGTAACCCAAATTAGTAGAATAAATGTGAACACTCAACGTGAAGAAATTTTCACATCATGTACGCGTACAGCTCCTCATGGAGTTCCGCAAGGTAGTGTACTTGGACCGCTCCTATTTACTCTGTATATAAATGATTTCCCTAAAGCCATTAAACATCCGATGACTCTGTTTGCCGATGACAGTACGATTACTATACCATGCCATGAAAAAACTAATTATGAAATGGACAAAAAAGTACTTTAATTGAAGCGGTAAAGTGGCTTGATAATAATAATTTAAAAATTAATATAAATAAAACTATGATTATGCATTTTAGTCATCGATTATCCTTATTTTCTAATCTTGACATCGAATATAATAATAATAGAATACAAATAGCTGAAACCACAAAATTTTTAGGACTGACAATCGACAAAAATTTAAATTGGAAAGCGCATGTTGAATCTCTAGCCAAACGAATAAGCAGTGCGGCATACGCGTTATAAATTATCGCGTACTGTAAATATAGAAGCGTTATTGACGGCCTACTATGGTTTGGTTGAATCGGTCATTAGATACGGTGTAATCTTTTGGGGTAACTCAACGATAGGGATGTCATTTTTAAGAGACAAAAATACTGCTTGCGATCTATGTTTAATCTCAAATCTACTGACAGCTGTAAAAATTACTTTATTAAATATCGTGTATTAACATTGCCTTCACTTTATGTATTAGAAATAACAATGTTCGTGAAGACAAATCCACATTTGTTTCCTCGTATGGCAGACAGATTTCCAAGGAATAGACGTGACGATAGCCAACTATGTTTACATACATCAAAAACTGCACTTATGCGCAAGAGTGTATTTTGCATGGCACCAATTATCTATAATAAATTACCCAAAAGTTGGAAAGAACTAACTATACCTAAACTAAAACAAACAATGAAATTGTTTTTGGCACAGAAAGCTTATTATAGTATAACGGAGTTTTTAAGTGAGTCAGTGATTGTTATAAATAAATAACAATAAAAACTAACATTGCCCTAATTAAGGTTGTGTCACAGTGTAGGACACAAAGAAACATATTGTTAATATTATTACAATTGAATGTTATTAAATAATAAGTAAAATATATAATTTGTATAATAATAATTAAATCATTTTTAGTAAATATTAATTGAATATGAACAAATTAATTAATAATGTATAATGATACTGCAGATATTTAATGTAGGTATAAGTGTAAATTTTAAAATTAATGTAATAATTCACAGTCATTAAATTTTTTTTTATATAATAGATATTTGCACGCCATGATAAATGGCAGACATGTCGTAAGCCACTTTTCTCTAAGATCTTGCATGCTGTATTATTTTAATTCTGTATGCACACACATGTTTGAGCAAATAAAATTCTTATTCTTATTCTTATTCTTATTCTTATTCTTATTCTTATTCTTATTCTTATTCTTATTCTTATTCTTATTCTTATTCTTATTCTTATTCTTATTCTTATTCTTATTCTTATTCTTATTCTTATTCTTATTCTTATTCTTATTCTTATTCTTATTCTTATTCTTATTCTTATTCTTATTCTTATTCTTATCTTATTCTTATTCTTATTCTTATTCTTATTCTTATTCTTATTCTTATTCTTATTCTTATTCTTATTCTTATTCTTATTCTTATTCTTATTCTTATTCTTATTCTTATTCTTATTCTTATTCTTATTCTTATTCTTATTCTTATTCTTATTCTTATTCTTATTCTTATTCTTATTCTTATTCTTATTCTTATTCTTATATTTACAAAATGTCTGCCACGAGGTTGTAATTTTAAGGTTTTATTGCATTTTGTGGGCTACGTTTTTGCTGCAAATGGAGTATTCATGCGTTCTTATTTCGATTAAATAATATAAATAAATAAGTAAGTACCCACATCCTAGTAGGTAATTTCTTTTTTAAAGTGGTGTTTATAATGTCTGTGATCATAAGTAGAACCTACCTGCTTGACATAATTTGTCAAACCGATTTTAACAAGGTATAGAATTACATCTTCTTTTCAGGCACTAAGAGGTATGCTTGGTCCAAGAAGAAGCCACACATTTTGAATTTCATAGCCTAATTCCTCGTATTTGGAAGTTTAACACGATACAATCAAGACAAAAATCTTCCTTAGTAAACAAGTCATCAAAGA